AGGCGAGAAAGAGAGGGGAAGACGGTCGTTGATCGGCAAGGAGGAGAGGGGGAGTTTAGGGTTAGGGAAATATTTCTTTATTGATTGAATAATAAAATTATGAGTAATGGCTACATATATAGATGGTAGATCTAGAGAATCATAACCATACTAGGTAACTAAATAAACCATAATACTAATAATCTAATATAATTATACTTCCAAATAATAATATAATTATCTAACCATAAATAATAAAACTACCTATAATAATAATAGCAATATAATAATAATGGTAAATAACTAAATATAAACCTGTATCATTTACAAATTAAAGCCTAATTTTTTTAAATTTACAACTTACATTATAAAAAGGATCTTCTCTTATATACAACAATAATTACATACATATCAACCTGTCTACCACCGTATTTGCTGACTTCAAAATTTAATTTTAGAATTGTAATTCTATAATTTAAGGGTGAGCATGATACGACATTTAGCTCGTATCGATATTATACCAAATATTTTCGTTCGGTATGAAATTTTACGTCATACCAATCTCGATCCCGAAATATCAGTTCGGTGTAGTTTGGGATGGTTCCATATCGGGTTCGGTATAAATCGGGATGAATACATATATACATACCTAATTACTACCTCCGTCCCATTTTAAATTGCCTATTTGCCTTTTTTCTCCGTCCCAAAATAAGTTGACTGTTAGTTGTCGTAAACTTTTAAAAATAAAATACCTAAACTACCTCTAAAATAAGTCAATCTTCTACACATTATATTCTCATTCATCATCATCCCTCCTAAAAAAGTATTGACAATTTCAGAAAATCAACTCTAATTTTAATTTTCCTTAAATATGTCCAAAAGTCAAAACGGGCGATTTAAAACGGGACGGAAGGAGTACATTCTAAAAACTAAAAAACCTTTATTTTTGAAAAATCCATACTAAAAAAGTACATTTAGATTAAGAAAATAAAGAACTATAAATTGAAAATTTAAAACTTAGTTTATATTTTACAAACTAAAAAACAATTGATAATAAGTTGGTATTTTGAATGTTCGTTTATGTTAGAAAGCATTTTCACATTGATGTTTTGTTAATGACAAATGCTTGTTTCTATTTAGGTTTTGATATTGACAAACCGTCGGGAACATGGGACAAAATGAAAAGACTCAAAGTCATAGCAAAAGCTTTTTAAAGGAACAAAAAACACAAGAAAGGCATTGATGTTTCTAAAGACGACGAGATTGGCGTTTTGAAGACGTTATCTAAAGACTTAGGTTTCATTGTAACAAGCTCATTCAATTTCTCTACGTCATGGCTCAAAACAAAATATGTTTTTCATGCATAAAATGAGTGTTTTCATAAATATAATGGTTTTAAGTTTCTAAAACTCCTGGTTCTTGCCCAACCAAAACCATAACCATTGGTTATCGGCGTTCGGCTATGGCGTTTGATTTTCGACATTGGTTCTTGGCATTGATTTTAGCCAAATGGTTTTTGGTTTTTTTCTTTGGTTTTTTGCTTCTGTACACATTTAAAGGTTTTCTAAATCATTAGTTTTCAAAAACCATAACCTTTGTTTTTTCGGCGCTGGTTATCGGCATTCGGAACTGGTTATCGACGTTCGTTTTTGGTGTCAAAATCAATCAAGTGGTTTTTAAGATTTTATGATTGGTTTTTACTTCTGGGCATATAAAAATAGTTCTCCAACAAAAACATGTTAAAAACCACCTTTCGTTTTTGGTCTTTTGGTGAAAACCATGTGAAACGACATAAACTTGGCTAGTCGTGGTTTTTACTTTAATGAAGTGGTTTTTAAGTTTTTATACTTGGTTTCTACATAAAATACATTATATAAGAGTTTCCAACACTTGGTTTTCATTTTGGAGAACTTTGGTTTTTGACATCGGTTTTCAGCGTTGGCTGCCAAACCATGGTTTTAGCGAACCATCCCAACATGCATGTCGGAAATCCCAACAGCGATGTAGGCATTCAGAAGTCCTTGGCAGTAGGTTTTTGAATAGCGATGTTCATTGCTGAACAGCGATGTTTTCAAATGATCGTTGGGCTATTTAAGACAAAATCTTTCCATTTTTGAAAGTCAAACACCCCAACATCGATGTAGACTTTTAGACATCGATGTTTTGATGACCGTTAGCCATTTTTAAAGGAAATTCAAAGCCAAAACAGTAATGTTCACTTTATGAACAACGATGTTAGGCTAAAATTCTGTAGACCAACTTTGATTTGAAGGGCACTATTCACCCCCCTCTAGTGAAGGGTACTTATTCTAACAGTTTATACTTTTATATATTCATCTACAAAAAACAAAAACTCGAATAAAATTATAAATTACATACTGACTCTGTCCCATATTGGATACGACACTCCAAATAACGTGTAAAATTCCATTATTTTTAAAATCATTTTAATTACAAATTAGTATAGAAATAAAACTATAAATTACAATATTTGAAAGTACATAAAAAGCTCTATAAAACAAGAAGTGACAAGATTTTTTATTTTATCAAATTATTAATGAAAATATACAAACAAATAAAAGTTACCGAAAAGCCGTAATAGTGATAGTGGCATCCAATTTGGGATGGAGGGAGTATAATAAATATTGAACCAAATATTTGAAATAATTTTATTACTGAATGAAAAAATATTAAAAAAATATTGTTTTATAATATATTAGTATATATATTCGGTTCAGGATTTTTGGTGTGGGAAGCTACCTCGGGCCGTTGCCAAATACCGTACCGAGCATTCGTTTCGGTACGATCCAATTCCTTTGCGGTATTTTTTTTGTTCGGTATTCTCAAACTTTTTCAAGAAATTTCAAGATCGGTTCGATACTTGCTCACTTTTCCAATCAATATTAGAAATCTAAATATTTTAAATGATTTCTAACTCTCAAACATTGCCTTACTGTTTTCAAAACACTAATCTAAAACATTAACCTAAATAATACACACCAATCCACTAACCTTGCCCACTAGGCCAATAATTTACTCTAATCTAAAACATTAACCTAAATAAGACATACACCAATCCATTGGCCTTGCCCACTAGCCAATGATTTTGCCTAAATAATTCATACTCCGTACATATATTTATTATTGGGCGAAACTAGTCATCAAAAAAGACAAAACTTTAAAGTACTCCTACGTCCTTAAGTATTTACTCTTTTTTTATTTTATCGATCAAGAGTGTTAAACTTTAATTATAAATTAAATAAAAATGATACTTAGAGTATTAGATATTGATACAATAATAATTTTATTAGATCCGTTTTATAAATATTTTTAAAATATTATTATATCTAATTAATATACAAAAATCTAATTAATAAACAATATATATTTATATCATTAAAGATCAAAGATTAAAAATAATTGATTACAAAAGTTAAAAGTTGATAAATATTCAAAGACAGAAGTAGTACTCTGCATAAAAAAAATTAAATGTCCATCCTGATAGTCTTGGAATTTAATCTTCTTTTTTTACAAGTGGCTAGATCGCCCTAGATTATACACTATAGCCTCTTAGTTTATAGTGTTTTTCTTTTGTTATAAATTAAAAGTATATCAATTCAAGCCAATGGTTGTAATATGCGACACAAAATCTTTTTTGGAATGTGAGAGTAGATTTATAGTACGAAGTAATTAACAATTTTGAATGATTGCATGTTAGTGACAAATTTAAGACTACTACTACTCGGTTGAATTCATACGTCAAAGGGTAACCATCTTTTCACTTTAGAACCTCGAGTAGATTTAGGGGGTTAGGAAAATAGAAATGACTCGGGAGCGCTCCGATACACCATTTGTAAAATTGACGATTTTTATTCGTTAACCTCTCGGTAAACCCTCCCTCCCCCCATCCTGACCCGAACATAGCCCCTCCCTACCCCTTTTAATTGCACCCCCAAGTTAATTTTGATTTTGAAGTTAAATTTTAACTTCAAAGTCAAAATTAACTTGGGATGCAATTGAAATAGTTGATGATGTGTTTGGGTCGGGGCGGGGTGGGAAGATTTATCAAGGGAATTATTGGGGGTAGGAATCGTCAATTTTACGAACGGAATAGCGGAGCATCTCCAGGTCATCCCATGACATGAAGTTCCAATGTTATGTGAATCCCTCTGTAATTAAAAACTCATGAAAATCGTTGCAATTTACTCGTAGTAACCAAAATTTATGAATCTACAAAAAAATATATAGAGTCCAACATATATACAGAATGTATAGTGTAAAATATCAAGAAAAAAAATATTACCATAGTGTAGGGAATTTCTAGAATCACTCTTTTTTTGGTGTCAATGAATGATACCGATTAAAAATGAAGTATCTACGGTGCCACGTTTGACATAGGACAAGAGCATGTGTGTAGTTAAATTGGAAGAGATAGAGAAGAACCACGATGAGAAATTTTTATCATCAAAATAATTCGAAGTAATAAAGATCATTTATGAGTAGTTTCAATTCCGTAGAAAAAAAATCCCATCGGTAATATTATGGAGAATATCTTTGATAAGATTAAAAACTATAAAAATATCAAAATAGGAGTCCTAAATTTTTCAAGACTAAAATAGGTTTTCTGACTATTAGTGTTATACTGTCACACTCATCATATTATCACACTATAATTGTAAAACTATCATTCTCACATTGCCATCTGTGACCTCCGGTCATCATAATGTTGTTGCCGATCGGCGGTGGTTGATTGATCACACTCAAATAACTCAATCATGCCCGTTCCTAAGACACTCTAGGCTCGAGGCGAAGAAAAAAATGGGCCTTACCAAGAATCTCGAGCAAATACCTTTTTTATTAAAATTGAAATGCAATAAGTATAACAACAAATATTTTGCATATAAAGAAAAAATATAAATAAAAAAAGGTTAAGGTACCCTAATTGACAATTGTATAGGTAACTTAGACATTCAAATGTATGGATATACTCCCTCCATCCATAAAAAACTTCCCACTTTACTTTCTCAACCGTTCACAAAACTTCCCATTTCTATATTTAGTAAAGAATGAATGCCTAAAGGCCAATTATACCCCTCCCTCCCCTCCATTGTCATTATCACCATTTACTCTTTATCACCCACCCCTTTGTTTCATTTACAGATCTACTTTACTCTTCATCTACTTCTACGCCACTCCCTTCACATCATTATCGTTTCCCACAAACCTCTTAGATCTAGGGCTTTCGTCTTGTCTTTCGTCTCTCTTCCTCCTCTTTGATACCTTCCATCAAGTTGCTCTCACTTGTACCACAACACTAGATTTAAACGAGACAGGTGGGTGGGTGAATTTCCATAGATTCCAAAGATCTGCACTATCTTTCTCTAACTGCAGAGACTGTGGATGACTTCGACCATGAGAAGGGCGTCGAGGATGAAAAAAACTTCTCCGCGTATGGGCAATTGGTGATTGAGCAACTTCCTCTTGTTGTAGAAGGTATTCCGATGGTGGAAGAGGTTGTACCTGATACAGAGGATCAGCCCGTTGAGCCTTTGAAGGCCCCAACGTCAAGCTTTGTGTACGTAAGAAAGCATACTTGTGACAACCTCTTAAAGATTTTGTTCCGGCTTGGATAGACCCAAGTAAGGATAAACCGTACTCTCTCTTATCTACTTTAAATACACTTTAAATTATGTTCACCCATGTGTGTGTGCACGCGTGCAATAGTATCTTCTAAACTCCTGAGCATGTTGTGATGTGGTTGGTGTTTATGCTTGGCTTTGTCTCTGCACTTAGCTTATCTTGAGCCGTGTGTGCGCAAATTTATCTCTTTATGAAATCTGAGCATGCTATAATGATGGTTGATATTCTACCTAACTTTATGTGTTCTCTTAGCTTGTGTTTAGTTATGTGCGTGTGCAAATCTGTCTCCTTCATAACCCTGAGCATGCTATGATGATGGTTGGTATTCTGTCTTACTTTATGTGTGCCCTATCTTGTGTTTAGCTATGTGTGTGTAAAAATATTCTTTCACGACTTCAATACTTCTGAGCAAGCTGTAATGTGGTTGGTACTTATGCTTTACATTTTCTCTGCCCTTAACTTGTGTTGAGCTATGTGTGTGTGTAAATCTGTCTCTTTAAGATCTTGAGCATGCTATGATGATGGTTGGTATTCTGCCTTACTAGTTATGTATGCCCTAGTTTGTGTTTAGCTATGTATGTGTGCAAATCTATCTTCTTAATAACCCTGAGCATGATATGATGATGGTTGGTATTCTACCTTACTTTATGTGTGCCCTAGCTTTCGTTTAGCTATGTGTGGGTGCAAAAGTATCCTTTCAATACTTCTGAGCATGTTGTGATGGGGATGGTGCATATGCCTTACTTTCTGTCTGCCCTTATGCTTTACCTTCTGCGTGGCCTTAGCTATTTCAAATTTGTGCACAACACAAGTGTGTAAAAGTTTGAATCCAATGATGAGTAACAAGAAATCTGTACTTATATTGGAATACAATTAACACGTGTGGTTGATGTTTGCTCAAAAACCCAAAATTTAAAAAAAACCAAAAATAATATACAACCACAATGATACACAATCTTGTTAAGTGTTAGTTCAATCTTGAAGAATGATCTCCTCATCTTCTTCAAGAATGAACTAACCCAATAGGACTTTATGTGTTTCAACCATAGGTAGTGCTGGCCCATTTTGCTCCACAATAGTGCAATACTCCTGTCGTACAAACCCTCTTCTAGTTGTAGTACCTAAGGCAACGTCCCATTCTGTGCATGGCATCTGATGGATGTAATTTTTCAGCAATAAATCTTGCGAGTAAAGGGTTAGTTTTCTCTCCGAGTGCCGTATCTCTTGAGGAGTGAACGAAGGGAATTAACTAATTTCTCTAACTAGGTGAAGGCTATTACATGTTTATGAAAATCTTCTCAACACGAAATAAAGGAAACAATGCAAAAAGAATAAATAAATTTACATAGTATAAGTAAGATCTGGATCTAGACTCAGGATATCATTTGGTTAACTATCTCACATTCAATTAAAAACTGGAACGATCACATTGATACTATTACTCACATATTTCTAGGATCCGTAGTTACCCTGTTTCTCTTGAATACTACAACCCTATGACGAGTAATATTTTTCAATATGTAGTTAATTAAATTCTTCAATATTAACTAACTAAATAAGGCAAGAACAATTTCAGGATAACCATTCTAACATTATTAACTAAACATTCAAAGTATATGCCCAAACTATTCCAGATACAAGATCCGCACTATAAATGAATCAGATGAGAAAAGTAGCCAAAAGGCTTGGAATGGGATGATGGAATCGGAGTATCTGCACTGCTTATATAGCTTAGGAGTTCTAGCGTCGAAGTTCGGCCGTCCAATTTCAGACACCCTAACTTTGGGTCTAATCAAATCAAAATTTTCCACGTGTCAGCATTGCGTAAGCTCCAAGCACCTTAGGGAATCCAACTTGGGGTGTCCAAGTTAGGGCTTCTACGCGGTTTTCAGCTCCTATTTTGGCTCAGTTTCGTCCTTTTCGTCCCTGAACGCCTATTTTAACTTTTCGGGAGCTTGTTCAAACATAAATCTAGGTCCTTTGATAATTGTTTTTCTTTTTCTCAAGTATTTGAAGATAAAATGGATTATTTAAGATGGTTTCATGTGGAATCCCTTTTTATGACTCTTAGAACGAAAATAAGAGTTTTATTCATGGAAAACATATTTTATGGGATGATTACGTACTACTTATGTGCAATAACATTTAGAATATGAAGTAAGAGATAAGAACAAAACAGACCTCTCAATATCCTTTCCCATGTGTGGCACTTTGTAGTTGTTGCTCCCCTCACCCTTCATTACCTCTTGCATGACATGTTGATAAGTCAGCCACACTTTGTTCAGTGTGTGGGCTGAAAACTGGTGTATGCATCCCGGACTACCTTCATTAATTCAGTTACATTGGTTGGAGCTGATTGTTCCTTCAATGACTATATGGCCCTGAAAAAATCTAAATCTAAAATGTTGAGGTCTGGGAATTAGGGGGCGGATCATGAGCAAGGGTAATTTAGAAACCATTAGTTGTACTTACCATGACAAAGTCTAAATCATTCTCAAGAATATGTGGCCTTGATATATATTGTTTGATAATAATTTCTTTGATCATGAAGTTTGGCCACTTTTCTTGAATGGTAGGGCAGGTATGACTGTGTGTATCAGCATGTCCTTAAACACTTAGCTTCTTTTGTGACACTTATATTGGTTTGGTTTCCAGTGAACCTGCCTCCCTCTTTTTGCTATTCCTCTTAGCCTCAACAGATCCCACAAAGGAGAAAATCCCTACCTTACCATCCCAAAGTACTTCATCTTCATCAGAAATTATAGGTCTCCTTACGAACCCCTAAAAATATGATTTTTGTGATAAATCCCTTGGATTGACATGCTCTGTGGGGCTCATCTTCTTTTAGGGTCAAATAATAGTATTGTGATTTATTTGTCAAAAAACCATTTCTTATCAATGTGCAGCACATTTTTAAAACTTTTGAAGGTGCGTTTGTTGAATTTGTAATGATTATGTATCAAATCAAAAACTTTCTCTTACTTTTTTTTACACAATACACAACAACCCACTAAAGGATAATATTGGAATGTCAAAGAAAATTTTAGCTTTTCTTAATGTACGTATCTGGTCAAACCGAAAAGTTTTTTTGTGGATGAAAATAGTGTATTAGTAGCAATTTTGTACAATAATTAATTTTCTATCTTCAAATATAAAGAAGTATGAGTAAAAAATATTTTTTCAACTTAAAAATTCATTTGTAGGCTACTCATAAGACTACAACTTAAATATTTTGGACCTCATCGGGGCCATAGTCTACCCCGACCTCTCTTAGGTCTGGCTTTGATCATACTGTCATCACTTTTCTCATCATACTACCAACATGTACTCTTATTAGGGGATGTTTGTTTCAGCCTCTGAATGGTTCAGATGTCTGAATGGTTCAGCACTTAATGGTTTAGACTGTTTGTTTCAGCCTCTTAATGGTTCAGATGTCTGAATGGTTCAGACATTTGCCTCTGAATGGTTAAATATTATGCAGAGTCTGAATGGTTAAGACCTCTTATCTGAATTGATCAGACATTTGCCTCTGAATAGTTAAGCAATATACTAGCTCTTAATGGTTCAAACCTCTTACTGGTTCAGCACTTAATGGTTCAGACCTCTTACTGGTTCAGAACTTACCTATTCAGAAGTTGCCAAACTGCCCCTTAGACTTTTATTTTAGTCTTAAAACACTTAAAAATCTTATTTTAATATTTTCATACTTTTTGACTCTTATCCGGAAAGATTCTTAATCATTAACACTATGTTTGGTTCAAGGAATTTGGAAGGAAAAGAAAAGAAAATGATTTTCTCTCATTTTCCTCACCAAAATGGGAGAAATTTTGGTTTTCCTCCTCTTAGTACATTTTGTCTTCTCATTTTCTTTTCCTTCCACTTTTCCGTTCTTTTCCTCTCTAACCAAACAAGAAAACTTATTTTCCACGTAATTTTCTTTTCTTTTCCTTATCAAATTCCTTGAACCAAACATAGTGTAAGGGAATCAGATTGGGCTAATCACACTACCATCTGTGGCTACCGGTCACCTGAGTGTTGTCGTCGATCGGCGGATAACTAATCACGTGTTATATTACACTGTTATTACTTTTCTATCAAAATGTCAATACGTACATTATATCACAATATTACGAAGTATTATTTAATCTTAAAAGACGTAAGATTTTTATTTAGATATTTTCATATTTTTTAAATCGGATCAGATTTGGCCATAGATAGAAAAAATAAGCAGCTTCTGGCTTCGTGAGTTGGGCGGCGAGGCTGCTATTCAATTTCCGATAAAGATGAACAATTATTGTCGTTTTTATGCAATTTGGCAGAGGATGTGCACAATTTCGTGATAAGGCTGAGCAATTTTTTTGGAAAAATGCTAAGGTACATCAAAGATGTATCTCATTTATCCCCACTCTTTCCTCCATCACATAAATGGACAAAAAATTTAAAAATAAATAATTAATTAAAAACGAAATAAAAATATGTGGTGGAGAAGGGGGTGGGGGACAAATATGATACATCTTTGGTGTATCCCTAACATTGCTCATTTTTTATAAGACTTAATTAGCTTCTGTGCACAATCAACAGAGAACGGCAAAAAAATATTGACACAATTAGGGGTGAACACGGTATATGTCGGTACCGTGACCGGCAACGGTACCGCCGGTACCCGCCACTGTCACCGCCGGCCGGGACGTTCCACCGGTTCCGGGAACCGGTACCGGCACCGCCCCACGGTACTGGTTCCAGTATCCATTTTTCGGTACCGGTACCGGTGGTACCGGTACCGGTGGTACCAGTTCCGGTACCTTTTTTTTTTTGTCCAGCCTCCAGCGGTCCAGCAGCCCCTCTAGCTCCAGCAAGGTTACTCTCTTTCTCAAAATAAGTCTCTTCCAAATTTTTCAACAATTGCATTTTAAATTTTTCATAGATCTCAATTGTTTTTATGGACACTAGATTTTTCAAAAATAATCAAAAAAAATAAATTAATTTTACACTTTAAAAATTTAATAAAAAAGCAAAAAAAATTAATTTGGGGGTGGCCGGTCCGGTCACGGTACCGGTACCAAGGAGTGGCGGTACCGGAACCGGCGGTTCCGGAACCGTACCGTGTCCATCCCTAGACACAATTGACATGAGATGGATAGGGTCAGAAAAACGTAAGTAGAACGCTCACTCGGGGTGCTCTTACACTCCGATCCGATAAAATTGTAAGGAGATAAATCATAGCATAATTTCAATCTGGTCCTTAGAGAGGTCACCACGTGTCGGGATTCGACTGTGGGATCAATGGACTTAACATCCTCTCTTTGGACTAGTTGAGCTACTCATGCGGGCAAAATCGATAGGGTTAGAGATTGAATTACGTTGCTCCCATACCATACTAGAAAGTAGAAATTCTAACGGAGTCTGAATCATAACCAAGAGGTTTATATAGTATAATTACATAACAGTACAAAAATAATATAAATTATATATTTAGAATATGTTCTTTAGGATTGGAGAAAAAAGTTGAATTTTTGAAAAAACAGAAAAAATTAAAAACAAAAGAAGAATCTTTCAAAAAATATGGGTATATTTTCAGATTATTCTTATTGTTAACAGTACTATTATTTATTTATTATTAGTATTATATTCATAGTCATCGTTATCGTAATCAATGTCTATAAGATAAAAAGTAGTGTCATAATTTATACAAAAAATTTTTACTACTTTTTCAAAATAAAACTAGTATAAATTATGTATATATTTAGAGCATGTTCTTTAAAGTTTGAGAAAAAAAACTAAATTTTGGAAAAAATGGAAAATTAGAGAAAACTTTGAAAAATTATGTGTGTATTTTTTAAGAGGTTACAAACACAAATTGAAACTTTTGATTGAGTTGATTTCATGAGATGATTTCAGAGCCTTCATGATCAAGATGTTACGAGTTCGAACTTCACCATTACCTAATTTTAAAAAAATAATATTCACGTGCAAGACTTAATAAGCAGATACAATTCTCACCTCGAAGTGAGGGAGCATATTAGGATATAAAGCATATACGGAGTATTAGATTTACAATCACATGCTGGAATTTTTAGTTAAATTGGTTTCTTGACATGTTCCAAATTTACTCCCATGTTTTTTTTAAACTTTTAACATTAACTGCTATATTTAAATTTTGAGCAATTTATTTAAATAGCACTAAAACATAATGATTTTTCCTGAATAGCACCACATGTGTTTTTCTTCCAAATGTAACACTTTTAGTCATTATGCATTAGTCATTATTCAAGTAAATATTCGCCATCACTGGACATTATGGACATTATTAAATGCTATTTGGGGAATAAAACTGTTTAAGTGTTATTTAGGGAAACGAGTTAAGTTTTAATGCTATTTAGTACAAATATTTCTTAAGTTTTTCAAAATAAATTTTAACGTCCTTATTTTTTACCCCCATGACTCCATATCATCTTTCTACTCTTACATTGAGCATAACCTTCATCGCAAGAGTATATTCTCTACCTCCGAAAAATACTTTTCGTTGTGCGATGTTTAGTACAATTTATTTTCAAATCATTTATATAAAAAATACTCCCTCGGTCTACAAATAAACTTTCCGTTACGCGTTACGATGTTTGACTGAAGTTATTTTCAAATCATTTTATATGAAAATGGTGTAAAATTTAAAAATAAAAATTACATATTAAAAAACTATATTAAAAGATCTACAAAACTAAAGGTGACATCACTATATTATTTTATCAAATGGATGACGAAAATAGGCCAACAAAGTGAATAAAGTTTGACCCTGCGAATAGTGAACGTGAAGTTTATTTGTGGACCGGGGGGTAGATTTCAATTAAAAAATAAAAATTACATATTTCAAATGGGCCGGACAACAAAAATAGAGCAACAAATTGAATAAAATTTGAGTATAAAAACAGTACATAAATGAGAATATATTTTTTAGGTGAATGGAGTATACTATATTATACTATATCCGTCCCAAAAAGATTTACACGTTTTGACTAAAGTTGAAATTAAGGGAGGGATAATTTTATGTTGATTTTCCAAAAATACTCTTGATGTGATTGTAAAATGAGGATGTGATGTGTAAATTATTAGAAAAAAGGTATGATGTGTTTGAAAAAATAAGGGGTAAAAGTGGTTTTTTAATAGAAATGGATAGAAGATTGTGAGACGCAATTTTTTTGAAAAGTATAAATCTTTTTAGAACGGAGGAGGAGTAGTATTCTGTACTCGTTATAAAAATAATAGTATTTTTGTTTTGTCAGATTTTCCTATATAAATAGCGTGCAGCTCCGCTCTTTCCCTCGATCAATTCCCTTTCTCTCATTGCCTTGCGCCTTCTCCTCCTCCTCCTCAGGGACTATATCAATATATAATTTTCAAATGGCTTCCACTTATTATCTTTTTTATGTCTTGCTCATCCTCAACTCCCTATCTCATGTGAGTATCTCTCTCCCTCATTCACACATGAAACATACTTGTTAGAGTATATGTAAAAATCTTTCATGGTTACAATCATAAATTTGAGTTTTTTTGTTTGGTTGGTTCGTTAGTTGACATGGTATGCGAGTCTTGTTGGCTAAGAAACTCACCGCTACCCAGTTTAAAAAAAAAATAAGATTTCACATCGTGTAATAAATTAAATTCAAAGATGTCACGCTTGCAGGTGTGGGGCGTGTAAAACTTTTAGAGTATATATATAAAACTTTTTCTGGACCATAACCGCACTCTTGAGCTTTTGGATGAGTTGGTTCATTGATAATACTAACTCTGTTTCAATATATTTGTCTCATTTGATTTTTTTCAAATCAAGTTGGACAAACTTTATTTGAACTTCAATTTCCCTCATTTTATATTGCATATTCCTCCGTAGTACAATGAAATAAAGTTTTGAAAATTTGTGACAAGACAAACCTAATTAAATTATTTTATAGTAATACACATTTCAATTTTTGTTTAATTGAAACTCAAAGTTTATCTTATTTGACTAGGAAAAGTCAAATTGGACAAATAGACTAAACCGTAAAGAGTATATCATATACTCCACCTGAGGGTGTGACTTATTAGGTACTACCTCCGTCTCTGAGTATTTGTCCAGTTTTGACTTTTTTCAGTCAATTACTTTAAACTTTTGACCTATAATTAAATAAAATATATATTGTATTTTAATTAAATAAAATAATATTTTGAAAATACTTGATGTAATAAATATAATAAAACTCTATTTGTATCAATATCTAATATTATTTTTATTTAATTTGAGGTCAAAATTTACCAATTTTGACCAAAAAAATCAAAAGTGGACAAATACTCCAGAACGGAGGGAGGGAGTAATTGATAGGTGAATGTTAAAGGGGTAAACTCGGATCGACTCCTTGTAATAAAAAATGACCATGACTCTTACGCATTTATGAGAAACAAATCTTATTTTCTATCAATTGCTATCTTATTGTTCGGACTATATCCATG